CACATATGACGGTTTGGTCATTATACGATACTCCATCGTGCAGTAAGGAGTGAATGTTGTGGTCTGTGTTCTTTCTTATGAGTTTCGTGAGGAGACGACATAGGGCTTGGGCTTTAGATGCAGCAGCAAGTGCAGTACGTTCCTCTACTTGTTTATGCTTGTTGTGTTGACTTTGTACTCCGTCAAGTACAGAGTATATCTGGTGCAGGGCACTGAAGTCTTTTGATATATAGTACATCCTTTTCAGTTTTCGCAGTTTAGACCTAGTCTTTTGGTTTATATAGGGAGTAACTGTTTTAAAATCAAATTTAGAGAGTATAGTAGTGTCTAGTGCAGATTTGGTGGTGATATTGAATATTTCTAATGTTTCTAAGAGGTTATTACTGGTAAAGAAACTGCCCCAGTCAGAGTGCTTTATTAGAAATCGAAAGTTTTCCCAGTCAGCGTTTGCATAGTCTCTATATTGGAATCGCGTATTTAATGCCTTTAATTTGTTGCATATGGCAAGAATCGGAAGGGTGCAGAGGACTATTTTATGATCGCTGTTGTGAAACCTTTCGCCAACCACCATTGATGTTGGTGTGACATTATGACAGAATATCAAGTCAAGAATGTTGTGATTTCGTGTAGGCAGGTGTACATGTTGTTGCCAGCCGTGTATGTCTAAGGACTTAAGTATGCTTTCAAAGCTCAATGGGCCAGAATGTGTTTTCCAGTTGATGGTGGGAAGGTTGAAGTCACCACATACAATTTTGTAAGTGAAGTCAAGCGAGGCAGCCTGAGCAAATGACTCACTTATAATAGTGTCAGTTGAACTAGGAGTGTTAGGAGCTCGATATATGCATCCGATTAGTATTTTACATCCATGAGTGTGCACAGTAAGCCATATCGATTCAGGAAGTTTGCTGAGGACGTGGTCGCTATAGATTTCCGCTCTCAAATTTTTTGATACATAAACGAGACAACCACCACCCTTCTTGGTGACTCGATCACAGCGGAAGAGCTCATAGGTGTCTATTTGTAGATATGTGTCTGTGGTATCGGAGGACAGCCAACTTTCCGTTATCAAAACAAGTGAGGGGTTGTTTAGAAGTAACAGGGTGCGTAGGTAAGTCATCTTACTTTGTACAGATCGAGCGTTGATTAACATAAGTGTCAGGTACGGTGACTGTTTGTCTAGTAGAAGGGTATGATGTAAACCCAGTGGTTTGTCTGTTTTGCCATGAGAAAAGGAAGGATTGGGAGCGTTGACTCCATATTGATGAGCGTTTAGTTTATTACCAGTAGGGTTAATGCAAGAAGGGTAGTCGGGTGTGGCTTTGGTGAAAGAAGTATGTCTAAGAGTGGAAGGTAGAGTCGAATGGTTAGGTAATTTGTCCGGGGAATGATCAGGGGGTTCAGTCAAGGAGTTTTCAAGACTAGAGACAGTTATCGAAGTTGAGTAGGATGTGCCACTCCCCATTAAATCGGAGTATATAGATGGTTTCAGAATAGTGGGATTGTCGCCCTCAACATCTGGAGACCTCATAGCAGTAATGTTGAGGGGGAGAGAGATAAAAAAGGATGAGATAGTGTGTATGTCGAATTAGGGGGGACTAAACCGTTGTATTGGGTGGCTTGACTTAGATAGTACCTAGAATCAGTAGGTGGGTTCCCAAGTAGGCCAACGTTATGGCTTCCTTGTGTGCGGTGGGCAATTTTAGTCCTATTGTGGTTAGTTGGGGAGGTTGTATGTTTCTGGTAAGGAATGAAGGAATGCCTGTTATTGTTGCCAAGAGAGGTGTTTCTGTTGTGTATAGTTTTGTGTTGGTTCATGGGGCATACAAGGTTGACACTATATGACTTATGGGTATCACGTGTGGGTGTGGTTCTTGTCGAGTGTCGTTTCACATTAGGATGAGTGGGTGTTGCCAGTTCACTATGTTTGTTGTAGGGCATTCTATTGCTATGAGAAGGTGCATGTTTTGGATTAGGGGTGCTGGAGTATTGGTGGGTTTTTACGGAGAGTTTGGTATTATTTCGTACAGCGCTGTCTGAGAGTCTGTAGCTGTTAGCGCAATTCCTGGGAGGATCATGTTTAGGCATTTTATAGGGGCTGCTAGGGTAATACTTAAACGCTATTGAGGCATAAGTGGTTTGGCATTTTGGGGTAGCTGAGTGTTTGGGCTGAGGGTGAGTGGTTGTAGCTGCTTTATGTGCGGTCTTGTCCTTAGGACTAATAGCAGTGTCCGACATGCCTTCGTTTTTTTTGGGGGGGGGCAGTGTATGATATTTTAGGATTTGTGCAGTGACAAGTGCTGTAGCTGCCGTGACTACGTAAGCTGGGTTGATCAGTTTGTGTTCCATTGCAGATTCGACTCTGGATAGCGGTCCTGTCATGAATGGTCCTAATCTTTTTAAATGTTGGAATACGCCTCAGTAATGACTGACTATTGAGGAGGTGATTAGCTTCAGTGGTACTACCAAACTGAAATAGAATGGGACAGGAGGCTTTAGTGTGTGCTTTACGTAATCTTCTTGTTACACACCAAGATTGCGACAATCCACATTCTTGTAGTAGAGTATTTTTAGCAATCTTTATGTTCGTACTATCAGGTATATTATACACAATGACATTCTGCATACACTGAAGTCCTTTCAACACTTCAGTTGATATATGGTCAATTACTTTTTCAGTGTTTTTTATAATTTCCAGATCGGGATTTTCTGGAACACTGATTAAATATTTGTACGGTAATAGGTGTTGAATAGTTTGGGTGAGGCTGAGTTCTGTTTGGCTGCTTTTAGGTCTACCAGTGGTGAGATTATTAGAGTTTATATCAAAGTTTTTAAGGTCGATATGGTTACATACAGGCCTGTTGCAGGTGTCTGGCGGATGGTCACTTTGTGCACACTTAGTTGAGGGATGGGGTATATGTCCGAGTGAGTAGTCAAGATCTACATCATCGGGCTGGCTATTGTACGCAGGCTTACATGTACTCCGTGGGCTGCTACTCAGAATGGCCGATTGTGAGATTGCTGGGTGTTTGGGGTCAACAGCACTGTTTAAATACTGCTCACAACATGTGATGCTTTTGTTTGGACTGACAAATGATGTCGACTCTAACGGTATGTGACTGCTCTTATTTATATCGACAAGCGAGATGCAAGGTAGTGATATGTCTTGTCCAAGTAAACGGTGCACGTTTAGTGTGGCTGAGGGAAGATCAGAGTAGGATGCAGACTGATCAGTGTGTTTATAAGGTTTCACATTATTCGCTTTAGTGACTGATTTAGATCTTTTGCAGGTGCTATAGGCATCAGGAGAGATTATATGTTTTTTAGATGGCCTGAACATTATCGGAAGTAATGTAAATACAAAGTTTATTTAGGTGGACGGCGATAGTTGTAATTTACCTTAGTGAACGTGTAAAGTCTTATGGTAGGATCAGACCCAGTATTAGTTAAGAGTAAATATATTAACGTTAATTGGTGATAGAGAAAGCGTGAAAATTAGCAAGATTAATTTATGACGTTGAGTTCCTAAATAAGGTGTCAAGTTGATAGAACCGTAGCAGTGACGAATTATTTATCGCTATTAAGTGTTAAATTAAAGAGAAAAACTAATAGGAAAATAAAATAATACCACGTGAAAAAAAGTGACAACCTTCAAAAGCTCGCGTGTTTAAACAAAAATGCACAAAACTGTGGATAACCACTACAGTGATTAAGCCACAGTAATGATAATGATAAATACAATGATAAGTACAATAAACGTTATAAGTATATGTGAACATTTCAGTATATTACACAACAACTTGCGTTATAACATAAGTGTGAACTTTGTTGGACATACAAGTGCTTACTGAATGTAAATAAGTAGTATAGAACACAATATACAAAAGAGTGGAAAGGGAGCGAGAAGGAACAATATAAGACAAACTTAACACTCAATAATAAATGTTCTAATAGTGATTCATTCAATCATGGTGATGAGCATTTATTCCGATTCCATAAATATAATAAAGAAATATGAATGTTGAGTAGTTGAAGGTAGTTAGTAGATAACTACGCAATTACGTTTCATGTTATTTGACACTCATCACTAAGATATATCTATCATCTTTAGGGTATTGAAGTTCCTTTGAGGTTTCGAACCAAGTCATCCAGCTTTATAATCCATTACGTAACTATCTAGCTATTAAGACTTCATGTAGACTTAAGAAAGACTACCTCCAACCATATAATATTCCATCTTAGTCCTCTTAATATCTAGTTGCTCAAAACGTTAGTCGAATACGGTCAACGCTAAAGACTGGGTTAACACAGAAATGGATATAATAATAATAATAATAATAATAATTTATTCTCAAATAACAGTTTGTTACATGAGGCATGCCAGTTTACAGGCAAGATCAAATTGATACAAATGATACAAGATACACTGTATTAAATTACATAGCTGGGTTGAAAATTTATAAGACATGAATGTAGATTGTTTTAATCAGTACTATAGTTGGCGCGCTTCACGAGAGTCGCGTTGCGAATGTGCGACTGATGGTCAAGAATAGGTCCATTGAAGGTATGAGCTTCTAGAAATCGCAACCTTATGTCCCTTTGGGATATCCAAGGCTTTAAGGATGGTGCAGGATGAAGTAACCTGTTCCATATCTCAAGGGGGCTGAAAGAGAGAGCAAGTAAAAGAAAACACGAGAGGCAGAGTAGCCAATATTCATGTAGGAATGTTTAAGGTATGATTACTCAGTCTAATTTTCTTTTATTAAGGTATTTGTTAAGAAAGAGCATTTTAATAGGTTAAAGAAAATAAGCTTTAGCAAGGTGTGAGTGGACATACAACTGACAAATGGAGGCGATTCGGAAAAGAGCTGAGAGTATAAGATTATGTGTGATTATAAAATAAAATATAGTGCTAGAAACAGTATTGTGATATACAACTGGCTATCTTCCTTTTATTATCGAAGCTATTAGAGCCCATTTCGTTTTTTTTATTTGTTTTTTTTCAGGTTTATAGGGTCTTGAGTAGGCTTCGTATATTAGCGAATTGTCTAGTTTGCTTGTAATAGGATTTCTGAGTAGGAAGTGAAACCAATTCAACGTTCGTAACACGATTTAAAGAGGTATTTTGCGTGATAAATCAGCTTCAATACCTTAAGTCCGTGACATCCCACTAAACCATAAGGAGCCGTAATTAAACAAAATGTTCTGCCCTACAGACATGGGTGGATTGAAGTTATCTCCCCACCTTCATGTTTGCTGGTCAGTAACGCCACCCTCCCTCCTTTTGTGATGTTAGGCTCTCTTACATTTGTGGTAAGTATGATTAATGCTTTAATCAAAGCACATAGTTGGAATACACTGTCTCTACTAGATCCATGTTACAAGCAAATCAGATATTTAAAAATTCTGTTTTATGGGTTAGATGTCCATATAGTATATCACACTGCTATGAAAATAACTAATGGTTTAAAGAAGTAAGGATTAATAGTAAATCAAAAGATATGAGAGGGTATAAAATTGTAGAAAAAAAAGAAACAGACTTTAGGGTGAGAAAAATAAAACATTGAGAAACTCACAAGACTTTGTGGCCAAATTTTGAGCTTTGAATGATCGGCCTTAGTAGATCAGCATCCATAAGATTGAGCTATCTGTCTACTTGCAGTAGAAAAAAAAGCATGACTTTTAGGGAGAATAATGTACATTTAACCTGTAGAGATTTGGGGACTGAAAGCTAGGGTTAGGAGCATGAAATCATGATTAATAAACAATGAATAATAGGAAAGGATAAGCCATATATCCTGTGATTTGGTTATATTCAAATTAGTAACAGTCGAACTTGTTATAATTTTGTTCTTTCTAGATACTAGGCGGTCCGTAATAAAGTGCCTCATCGGTGGGCGGGAGTTCAAGGTAATGTTGAAGCTCTTTGGAGTCTAGATATAGGGTTATTAGCTTTTTGAATCTGGTAAACGTATCACAGTTACGGATAGGCATTGGCAGCCTGTTCCACAATAAACTGTACCGTACTGTAAAGAACTTACAACGCATTTGTTTTTGGTGTTTTACGGTAAGTAGTGTATATGCGTTGTTTCTAAGTCTATAGGCTGGGTCGTGGGTGATAGTCGGGCAGGAGGTTAGAAAGGAGAGCCCATATATCGCTTTGTAGAGAAATATTAAATTGTGTTTTAGCCTACGGTGCCATAAAGGTTCTAAAGATAGATGCTTACATCTGTCTGTGTAATCGAGATTCGAGTTACATCCTAGTAGTTGACGTGTGAAACGTCTTTGAACATCTTCTACTCTTATCTTGTCTGCGATATTCATATTAGAGAAGACAAAAGAGCAGTATTCAAGGGTGGGTCGTACACATATTTTGTAGAGAGTAAGTTTACCCTCTGTTGTGAAAAAGTTTTTCATTATAAAACCAATTAGCCGTCTAGATTTAGAAATAATAGAGGAGGCATGTTCTTCAAAGTTTAGGCTTCCTGTGTAATTAATTCCTAAATCGTGTACTGATTCGAGTGTTTGGACTATACATTCATTTAAGTGAAGTCGCGGTTTATAGGGATGCTTTCCAAAGTGCATGATCCCGCACTTGTTGAGGTTAAATGGTAATTGCCATTTTTCACTCCATATAGTTAAGTTATTGAGGTCCTTTTGGATCTGGGATACACTTTCGCTTAGTGTCTCAGGCTTATAGCTGTATACTATTTTGAGATCATCAGCATATAAGTACGGTTTCCCAAATTCTATGGTGTTACATATATCGTTTATATACATAAGAAACAAAAGTGGCCCTAATACGCTTCCCTGGATGACTCCACTGGTGATTGGTCTAGGGGACGAGAGACAGTCATTGTACTTTACCATCTGTTTACGTTCTGTTAAGAACGAAGCAAACCATGAGTACAGTGGGTTGTGTATTCCGAAGGACTTTAGTTTGACGAGTAGCCTTTTGTGTGGGACCTTATCAAAGGCTTTCTTAAAGTCTAGGAATAGGACTGATACAAGGAGTCCGCTGTCTCGTTTCAGAGTTATATCATTCAGGTAGTCTACTAGGCATGTATCGCATGATCTGGACCTAAGAAATCCATGCTGGGAGGTCGACAAGAGATTGTTAGTTAATAGATGTTGGACTACAGCCGCCTTAACTACTTTTTCCATCACTCTGGATACCACTGAAGTTATGTTTATAGGCCGGTAATTTTCAACGTTTGCTTCAGGTCCTGTTTTAATTTTGGGAATGATATGTGTAGTTTTCCAGGCAGTAGGGTAACACGCTGAAGAGAGTGATATCGCGAATAGTTTGAGAAGCAAAACACACATATCATCACCTCCACGTTTTAGCATGCTAGATGGAATACCATCTGGTTCATCAGTGTAGGAGTGTTTCAATGTACTGATTGCTTTGGAGATATTTTGTACACTGAATTCTACATTAGTAATTTCACAGGGAGTTACTGGGATTGGTTCTGAATCATTAAATGGTTTTTCGTTAGTTAGTGAGAAACAAAAATGTTCACTGAATAATTCTGTGATAAGTTTGGGATCTTCGTATACTTGTTTGCCTTTAATGAATATACTCCCTCTCGATTTAGAGCGTTTAAGTTTATTTTGGAGTAGTATGGTGAGTGCAGAGGAGTTATTGCACTCACCATACTACTCCAAAATAAACTTAAACGCTCTAAATCGAGAGGGAGTATATTCATTAAAGGCAAACAAGTATACGAAGATCCCAAACTTATCACAGAATTATTCAGTGAACATCGAAGCTGCTACCTTGACGCGGTGGTCGGGCTTGCCTATCGTGATGACCCAACCGAGCTATATTGGCTGGAACATATGTTCCTGCAGGTTCTACCATGCCAGGCAGGTCGATTGGTGAACGGTAAGACTAAAAGCAGCAACTCAAGGTCTGAGGGCGAAGTCGTACTGCTGACTGTAGAGAGGTGTGACAGCAGTAAGGTGTTTCCCTCGGACAACCAGCATGACAGCGATGCTGCCTTCCCACAAGGAGGGGTGGGGTTAGAAAAGGTCGACCCTAAAAATGTCACCTTACCTCACGGATTTCCGTCTCCGGCGGTAAGGCCCTTTGAAGAACGGAGCTAACACGTCAAAAACCTTCCACAAAAAGGCCGTGCGCGACCGGCCTCAAGCAGTTGTCCCTTGGGCTCTGCGGTCACGCTCCCAGGTCGTCAAGACCAACACTAATCCAATTTCCTTTTCAGGTTCCTCAAGAAATACCCTTCCACGGTGTGGGCAGCCGGGAAGTGATATCAGCCCTCATACCCGTAACAGCACAAGAGACCAAGGTGGTCACATTCAAATCCTTCCTACACCTCCTAATACCTCTCTTATCTCCCGGACTAACCCTTCTCACGTCTCTTTATCACCTCGCACCGCTAGGGCAAACGATTCGAGTACGTGGAACGCTATTCCTGGTATCCTGAAACCACGCTCTAAACTACACGTAGGAGCTTTTAACGTACGGACACTTTGCCAAATAGGACAGCAGGCTTCCTTAGCTAAAACTTTAGAATCTCGCGCCATCGATGTGTGCTGCGTCTCCGAAACGCGCATACAGGATCCAAGTAGCGTCATTCATTTGACCTCACCATGCCAAAATAAAGAACCGACTCGATTTACGCTTCGTGTATCTGGAAGCCCTGATTCTGCTTCCCGTGGCCTCGCCGGCGTAGGTATAGCATTGAGTCCTAGGGCAGAACTAGCTCTCTTAGAGTGGATCCCAGTAGACAGTCGTTTGTGCGCTGTCCGACTGAACGGAACAGTAAGAATCCGGAAAGATAGGGACACTCGTCGTTGCCTCTTCGTCGTCTCTGCCTATTCTCCCACTGACTGCAGCTCAGATGATGTAAAAGATGAGTTTTATAGAAAGCTTTCGGACCTTCTCCGAAAAGCTAAGCGCTCGGATGTAGTAATAGTGGCCGGTGACTTTAATGCTCAAGTAGGTAAACTAGGCGATAGGAAAGACACCTAGGTGGATCTTATGGTGTCGTGGCTCAAAGAACAGATAATGGCGACCGTCTGTTGCAGCTATGCTCAGATAACCGCCTGTTCCTTGCAAATACTAACTTTAAGCATAAGGAAAAACATCTTTTAACATGGCGACCCCCTAATTCGTCCCAACGTTGGACCCAAATAGATCACATCGCTATCAGCCACCGATGGAGGGGCTCGATAGAAGACTGTCGCTCATTCTGGAGCACATGCCTAGATTCAGATCATGCTCTAGTGCGAGCGCGTATTTGCTTGCGTCTTACTGGACGTAGGAAAGACGCTGCAAGGAAACCTCTTAGGGGCTGTTTAATGATAGTCAAGCTAAGAGTATATTTCAGGAACAACTAGGAGAACAGTTAGGCAGCCATGTATGTGATGCCCACCCCGATGCAGCATGGAATGATATCCGAAAAGCTGTGGAAACAGCAGTGATATCTGCTAGTAAGGTAAACCAGAAGGTTAGGGAGCAACACTGGATCTCAGCAGCATCTATCTCACTGATAGATGCTCGGAAACTCATTCCACCTGGCTCTGAACATAATGAAGAGCGGAGTCAGCTTAAGCGCAAGCTGACAAGAAGTCTACGCAATGATCGTGAACAGTGGTGGGTAGCGAAAGCAAGAGAGATGGAAAAGGCAGCGGCAATAGGTAATAGCAGACAATTGTTCAGACTTGTTAAGGAAACCGACTGTTAGCGAAACACTCTCAGAGAAAGATGGACATATTATACATTCTCAATCCAGGAGATTGGATCGATGGGCAGAACACTTTAGGGATCAATTCAACTGGCCTTCAGCCACACTTCAGTTTCCCACGATCTCCAGTCAACCTGAATGGCAAGTTAATGTTAGTCCTGCAACTCTTTACGGAGTTGAAAAAGTTATAGGAAATCTGAAGCATAGGAGAGCAGCAGGCCCTGACAGGTTTACTCCTGAGATTTTGAAGGATGGTGGTCCAGTATCAGCAGTGAGATTAACTGAGGTCTCAGGTCGAATTCGGGAACTGGACGTAATCCCATCTGACTGGTCTCAATCACTGATTGTGCCAGTCTATAAGAAAGGACAAAAGTCCTCTTGTGACAATCACAGAGGAATCAGTTTGACTAATATAGTGTCTAAAATATTAGCTTCAATAATACTTCGACGCCTAATCAAAGCTCGTGAAGAGCAGATTAGAGAAAACCAGGCCGGTTTTCGACCTGGACGTGGTTGTATAGATCAGATTTTCACACTACGTCAGGTTCTAGAACATAGACACACATTCAGACGCCCCACAATGATAGTATTTCTCGATCTTAAGGCGGCATTCGACTCTGTTGATCGTGAGGTTCTATGGCAGTGTTTGTCACTGAAAGGAGTACCAAAGAAGTACATTAACCTTGTAAAGGCTCTCTACTCGAACACAACTGGTAGAGTGAGAGCTTATGGCGAACTGTCATCAGAATTGATTACCTCAAGTGGTGTTCGTCAGGGCTGTCCACTCTCCCCATTCTTGTTCAACTTTGTGGTCGACGTACTTTTAGAGATAACACTCTCCTCATCTAAATTTCCAGGGGTTGAACTTCTACCGGGAGGTTCACTTGTTGACTTAGAATATGCTGATGACATAGTTTTATTTGGTGAAGACGCTGACAAAATGCAGAGTCTTCTGACCACTCTAAGCAACAATGCAAGCATGTTCGGGATGCGATTCTCTCCCTCGAAATGCAAAATGTTGCTTCAGGATTGGGTTACATCGACACCCGAACTAGTGATAGGGAGTGAAGTAGTTGAGTGTGTCGACCGCTTCACTTATCTTGGAAGTCTCATCAGCCCTTGTGGTTTGGTGTGTGACGAAATCTCAGCACGGATACAGAAGGCTCGACTAGCTTTTGCCAACTTGCGTCATTTATGGCGTAGGCGAGATATCCGTCTATCAATCAAAGGACGTGTTTACTGCGCAGCAGTTCGCTCCGTCCTACTTTATGGCAGTGAAACATGGCCGGTGAGAGTAGAGGATATTCGTAGGTTACTAGTATTTGATCATAGGTGTCTTCGAAACATTGCTCGTATATCATGGGACCATCGAGTAAGTAACACAGTTGTTAGGAAACGGGTACTAGGTAAGGATGGCAAATCAATTGATGAAGTAGTGAAACTTCATCAGTTGAGATGGCTGGGACACGTGTTACGTATACCCAACGACCGACTGCCTCGACGTGCGATGTTCAGTGGTATAGGAGTAGGTTGGAAGAAAGCTAGGGGCGGCCAAACCAAAACATGGCACAAATCCATGAAGTCACTGACAAGTGAACTGAGTCATGTTGGTAGGTGTAGACTACCTGGTTGGGGACCGCGAGATGATAGCAACCGATGGTTGGAGACCCTGAATGACATGGCTCAAAATCGTTTGCAATGGCGCAGGTGCATCCACTCTCTGTGTTCTCCCAAATTCTAATCTTCTGAATTCTTCATGTCCCTTTTTTCCTCCTTCCAAATTTATTTCAGTGTATTATACTCTTTAAATAACATCTCCAAACCCTAATCTTCCCGATTACTGCTTATACTCTTGCTACCTCTACCACTACGGGATTTGAATCGACAACTGCATCTCTGTGCTAATGTGGTGTGGCAACTCGAACTGATGTACGCACGTACGAAGTTCTACGTTGTTACTGACTGACTGACTGACTGCAGAGGAGTTATTATTAAATTCAACTGCACGTTTTTCCTGTGCTACTGCTTTTTGTTTACTTATTGCCTCTGTTCGGACAAGTATTTCTGTCATCGTTACTAAAGAGGAAAAGTCATTTAAGTTGTGGAATCGAGTACAATGTCTTTGAAGACGTCTTCTTGTACTGACCGGTATATAGAGATCTTTGGAGAACGTAGGTTTACAGTATTCTAAAGGTGCGGTGTTGTTGATGATACTTTTGATGTTGTGATAAAATATATTGGTTAATGTGTCGGTATTGTTTGAGGTAAAGAAAGTTCTCCAATCAGTGCTTCTTAGGTAATTGTGGAAGTTATTCCAATCAACCTTGCGATAGTTTCTACGAAGTGTTACGGTTTTACTTCTATCGGTTGTGGTTTTTACATTAAGGCTGCATATGACAATGTTATGATCACTACCTGGGAACTTTTTTCCAATATACAAAGTATTGGGGATGAGGCCACTGGTAAAGACTAAGTCTAAGATGTTTTGATGTCTGGTAGGGCTATCGACATACTGAGTCCATTGTCCAAGCTCTAGACATTCAATAAATGATTCATAACGTCTCGGCGCTTTGACTGGCAGCCAAGAAATTTCGGGCATATTGAAGTCACCACAAATGAGCTTGCCTGTGAATGAGAGGGATGATGCTAGCGTGAATACCTCCGATAATACTGCTATTTCATCTATTGATGCGTTAGGTTGACGATAAACACAGCCGAGCAGTAAGGTAACGGAATTCAACGGCTTTAATACAATCCACACCGAATCCTTCAGTTTGTTTAGTTCAGGCATATCACATAGCAGTGAGTTCAGGCTAGAGTGAGCGTAAATAAGGCATCCTCCGCCTCGTCCATTCAATCTATCGCTTCTATATAGGGAATAGTTATCTAGAGATATGCTTCTGTCGGAAATATTACTGTTAGTCCATGCTTCAGATATCATAATAACTGATGGTTGATATATGGATACAAACAGGGCTAAATCCGTCTTTTTGTTGCAGATCGATCGAGCGTTGATAAGACATATATTAAGCAAGTGGCCTACTAAGTTAAAATGGGTGAGGGTATCTCGGATAAAGTCATCGTAACCCTCGCGAGTGTAAGATGAGTTTGATGTGAGGGATTGGATGTTCTTCATTAGCTCGGTATTTTGATAGTTAAACTTATTGGGAGATGTATCAAATGAGCTGGTGAAGTTGATTGGGGAGTTTACCCAGGAGGAAAGGGTGGGAGTACTCTGTGATGGAAACTGTACGGAGGAAACAAATTTATGGTTTGCATGTGGTTTGAAATAACCTGGGCTATATGCTTCAACAGAGGTGTCACTAGGGGTCTTATTCCAAAAAAATCTTGTACAGGCCTACTGTGAAGTGTATGGTTATTTACAAAATAGTCTTGATGGTTAGACTCGTAGCCCCTGTTATGGCTACTTACGTTAGCGCGAGAGGGGTCTGCTACGCGTAACTGGGAGGAGTTGCGACTGTTGTTATACATGGGAGCCGTTGTTATGTGATGGGTCGGTACTAAAGGGTATGAGAAGTTTTCTTTTTGAGAGTAATTACAGTTGCGATCCTGGGGAATGTAGGTAGGGTGTGGAGTGAGAAACCTATTATTACCGTTCTTATTTATGGTTTTAGGCTTCAGGGGGTGATTTGGGTGGCCAGTTCTCTGGTAGTTTTCGTTAGTCTGCGTGTAAGAAGGCTTGCTACGTTGAAGCCCACCACCCTTTTTGCAACTTGGTGTTGAAGGCAAGTTATACGATAGCAGCGGGGAGAACCTGTTCACTGTTCTTGGGATACCTATAGAGCAGTTGGGTTCAATCTTACGTGTTTCCCTATTCGGTATCATGAGTTTTGTCTTCCCACCCTTTATTTTCAGAGCAGGATTCCTTCGTTGTCTTTGTGAGATGAACTTACGTTCATTCAAGTCTACTTGTGGAATGTCTTTAGGAGGACAAATTTTCAAGTGTATAGGTTTAGTTGCACATGTGTTGTTACACGACTCGCATTTTAGTACATTACTGAATGAACAGCTGGGATTAGTCATGTCGTTATGGTTTTTGGTGTCAGTTGGGGTTCGTATCTTATCCAAAGGTTTCTGATCTGTAGACTCATCTAGGTCAACAGAGTGATCAGCCGTATGTGGAGTGGTGTCATGCTTAATGTTCGTGTGTTTTAAACTATTTGCTGTGTTGCAAACTGTCTCTGGCTGATTATTAACTGTAACACTCCCATTCAATTCTATCGCTTCGCGTCTTCTTACACGACGTTGACAGGGCGTAAGGTCTGGAGTGACTTTTATATTTTTGTATGGAATTAGTGAGCTAATGTTTTTGCTCAAATCAATAAACTGCTTAGCATCGTTACAACAGCCAAACATAAACAAGAGGGGGCAAGTTGATCTGTCTGACTTTTTTCTAAGGCGGATGACTTTGCAGTTAACGTTCGGCATACCGCATGCTCTAAGGCAAATATCTCTTAACTTAGATGGGTGTGTGCGGTCGGGGAGGTTATACACAACTGCATTGAAGGAGGACATTACTCTCTTCGTCACTTCTTCAGCCACAAACTCCAAAATACACTCAGCTTTAGTGAGTTGCTCAAGATTTCTGTCTGTATCAAGGCCCCATATATGAGTGAGGGGTGCTAATTGCTCAAGTTTGCCGTTAATTTCGGATAGAGAGTTTTGTAGCTGTCGGATGTCATTACTATATCTATCAGTATTTTGGTGCGTATGAGGTGGACCATTGGACTCTTTAGCTTTTGAAATTTTAGACTTAGGCCTTGGTAGCACATACTGTTTAGTAGACTGTGCTGACTTTTCAATGCACGTAGGTATAGTGTCTTGTATGTCAACCAGTCTTACCGTTGGCATACTGCACGTAAAGATAGAGGGGCTGCGACATGGAGAATCTGGTGACGATAGGGACAATTGTGTACAATGCACATATTTTTCAGTAGTTAAAGGTTCGACATTGTCAAGCACTGAGTCGTCAGTTGTAGGGGTTACAGATTTGGACCTTTTATTTGGCTTAGAAGTTGGTGAAATTCCTCTTTTACTGGAGTTATTGGACATGATATGAATATAAGTGAGCACAGTGCTCGTTAAATTAAATATAATATCTGAGTATTAGTTGTTATTAAGTATTAACCTGGTTAATGCTAGGATTAGAGACTGTGAGTATATAATAAATTGCAGACCTATTTACGACTTAAGTCCGCAATAGGTACAATACGAACTGGTAATTGTCCGTCGAATAAAAATACGTTTTTTCTTATGTTTCGAGGTGAGATGTTCCCGATGCACAGGATAGGATGATAATCACAGTATAATACACCCTACAAAAGAGCAAGTCGAAGAATTCCTAAACCACGTGAAAAAAAATGTTACCACTTTCAAAGTTCGCACCAGATAAACATCGTTTGATTAACTAGGAGAACTTTAGATGAGTTGAAGTGTTACATTTCTATTATTCGCTTGGTATTATTTTACTTTCTATTAAACCGAAAACTTCCAACGCTTCTCAAATGAGACAAAGTCACGACAATTTATCCTTCTCAACGAGCTAATTACTTATTTAAGCAAAGATGGATAGTGGCTGGTAGTGGAATACAGTTTGATGCGTATTTCCTCCTATTCGGAACTCGTCAGTTGGATGTAACAGAATCTCAGAATTGATGTTCATTATGGGACTCGAACGTAGTATTGTTCGCGTTATCCACTTAGCTACTGAGTCTTCATGCTTGTGCAATGGGGATAAGTTTAAATTCACTTGGTATTATTTTACATCAATCTTTCCATTGTTGTTAAGGACTGTAATTTATCAATCTCTTATTAACATATGTGCATCCTATACGGATTGTCTCGATATTACCTTAGTACATAAGCATTCTAAACAAAGACTTTAAGTGACTAGTAATGAAATCCAAGATACAGGTTTCGTCCTATTTAAAACTCATCAACTAGATAGATCTATATTCCAGTATTCATCTATCAATTCACAACTCAAACCAATACCATTCACCTACCCAACTACTAAATCTCTCATCCATTGAAACATTCAAACCAACAATACATTCTTCTTTCTCTTTATTAGATGTTTCTTAAAAGTGACCTTCACTTTCTTTCATTTCTCTATCTGTTCACAAATTAAAAGAAGAATTTTAAAAGAAAAAAGCCATTGATCATATTGATTGATTTTTTTCTAATTTTTTTCTTTATTTTCACAATCAATAAGAAAATTACTATCTGCACGTTATACGAAGATAATTGATCCAATTTTGTTTCTCTTAGAGATAAGACAAACAATCTGGTAGTGGGCTGATGTTCACATTTGTAACCTTCATATACATTTAGAGTGATCTTCAACGAAGGTTAAGTATTCGTGCGCAAGACTGAGAGTTCCTGGGTTCGAATCCAGGTCGTGATGATGCATTGCTGAGTTATTGGGATTTTACAAATACATCCTTCTTCTTCAATATTGATTACAGTTGACATCCTGAACTCATGTTAAATAGTTGCTCATTAAGAATCAAAAATCATTAGACTACGATTTTGTATACGAGAATTAGTGACATATGTATATCTATCTAAATAACCATCAGAACCTAAGAAACTGCTGTGAGATGTGGAGTCAACAAAATCCTACTAAACTGTATTCATAACAATTCATTTATTAAACTATAGATAATCTATTAGATCTATTAAAATGGATTTTGTACACAATACAGTGATCTCAGTAGTTGAGATCATGAGTCGATTGGAGCTAGACCACCATGCAAAACCTCGAAGTATTGGACGGCCGTTTCGTCCCATTGTGGGACTCCTCAGCAGTGCGCATCATCATTATCATTACACCATTCATTCTCCATCCAAACTCTCTCCTCTTCGAAAATTCTTAGCCTTCTGCCACTAGGCATTTCACTTTCTATTGATGATACATACTACTTATATCTGTCAAAATCAGTAGCACTCCTCATTTAAGTAATTATATGAATAGTGGTACAACTAAATCTGTAAGATTCAGAAAAACGAGAATACTCCAAAAAGAAGTGATATACATTGTCACTGAGAGGAAGAGGAATTCGGATATAATAGGAAAACACTTTTGTTTTGAATAGCAAACCTAATCTGAATGGAATATTTACCATTAGATTAAAAGGGATAATAAAACGATACAGATAATGATTTTCTTTAGGAAATTTCAAATGACATGACAATACTACTTATTTCTTCGATAGATTAGTAGGCAATAGGCAATATTCTATTATTAATTAGACTATAATTTATGTATGACCATTGGGTGACCCCAAAATGACCTTGAGAATGTCCACCTATGTACAAAGGTCAAATGAGAATTAATAACCTGTGTGAAGAATAAAAAGATTACGATTCACAGTTGATGGTTAAGGGTTAAGAATTAAATTCAGGAAGGTGGGGGGGGGTTCATTACGAACTGACATAAGCTATAGTGGTAAAACGCTATTCAGTCAAATGGATGAATGAAATTCGCTCCGAAATCCAAGACCTGTTATCTTATACGTGATTGGCTCGTTCATGAATGATAGTCTACCTAATGAATTATTTTATTCAGAATTTGTTGATTTAATACAGTATTAGGTTGATGTAAAGCAATTTCAAGAAAGACGAACATATTTTCATTGAAGGATCTCAACAACTAAAGTCAACCAATTACCAGTCCGTGGTCAGCTAGTAGAAAACTCTCGATTTTTGAAAATATCAATTACGGTGATGAATTGATCAGTTTGTCAGTCAGTCAGTCAGTCAGTCTGATACAACGTAGGACCAAGGGTATATACATGCATCGTTCCAAGTTGTCAAACATCATTAGTATATCAAGATGAACACCGAATTCATAGAAGTAGTTAATACAATGATGGTGGACCCACAGTCGAAAGCCAATGACTTATAGACCACATATATATATTACTTCGTTATTTAGTAATTCAATGATTATACGTTCCAGATAAAGATCCTCGGTGTTGAAACATGTGAATGATAGAAACTTTAATATTTTTACTATGAAAATATATGAATTCATTATTAAGAAAGTATATAGTCAACATTGAAACACTTTTCAAATATGTTTGTTATGTGTTTGTGTGTGTGTCTGTGTTT